GGCGGCGAGACCCCGCGCCGGCAGGTCCTGCGGCTCCATGCCCACCTGGAGGATTCCCTGGATTTCCTCTGGGCGCGGCTGGCGGTGGGCACTGTTGTTGCCGGGTTTGGAGGGCTGGCGTACCTCCTCCTCCGGCATTTCATCTCTTAATTCACCTTTTCTTTTTTGTCGTGGAAAAAACCTGAATTTCCAGGTTTGAAAAGGGCAGTGAAAGGCCACAGCTTTTAATGAGCTTTGCCGGCTGAATGCAGACAGTGGGATGAGGCGTCTCCTTGCAGACTTCCCAAGGTGAATGAACGGAGGGGATTTTTTTTTTTTTTTCCCCACACTGTCTCCCATCTCCTTTCTTCCTGCTCCGGTTCTTCCCCACCAGCCGTGCCCATGGGATGGGACCGCTCCCCGTTCATGGCTGCAGCCCATGGAGGGAACGAGGCTCCTGTTACCCCCCTGTGGGTGTGCGTGGTGGGATTTTGGTGAATTTTCAGCACTTTAACGTCTTCCAAGACAATCTCTTTGCTGGTGGAGCCGGTGGCCTCTCAGGTCCTGTTTCTGCTGGTCGGTGTCCCCCGGGTGGACCCCTCGTATCTTGCAGCCCCAGAAAATCCAAATTTAGACACGGGATTTCCCCACTTTCATGCTGATTTAATAGAAACATGCCTTTCTTTCAATGTGCCTTGGGGGGGACACGCAGCACCTCATCCCACACGGGTGAAGTGTTCCGCTGGCTGCTCGCCCCCCCTCCTGCCCTGAATTTCCCCGATCATCGTTCCTGCGTCACCCTCAGCTTCGGATCTGATGGTTTGACACATTCCCGGAGTGGGCTGAGACCTGGGACCTGCCTCCCTGAAATAATTTACGGTGTGTTTGAGCTCTCCTTCAGCGGCTTCCCCTGGGAGATCAGGAGCCGGGGCGAAGCGGGTTCGGGCTCTTTCACGTTCGATTTAATAAAGTGCTGAGCAGCAGCGGGCTCCCCGCGGCTCCGCAACCCGCCTGCTGCCGGTGCCGCTCCTTCCCCGCCCCATCCCAGACCGTTCCTGCGT